TTTAGTGTCACAGCCAAAGACCGAGTGATGTGTCCAAATGTGGCCACTTGTATACGTAGAGGATGAACTTGATCTAATGGATGAAGGCGAGCTAACAGGGATGGAGCTGTCAGCAGAGTGCCGTAGGTAACTCACGCACTCATGTGGCGTGCATAGCCAATTGTGTGAACAATGACGAAATGCTAAAGCACCATTTACCATCATGGGGAATGCTGGATCCTCGAAATAGATGAGACCTGTTTACTAAACTAGACTAAGACTTTTTTGTCTGTTTTCACTTGGGATTTGGGATTAATGGTACAACTATATTATTTGATATCTTTATACTCGTTTTGAGGTCGGTGAGCTGGTCGTCTGGACTTTGTCAGTCAGAAGCCTGCGAACAATATACGCTTTAGTTTTATCACAATTAGGCCATGTTCAATTAACTTGGCAGGCTGTGCCAGCTGTGTATGTGATGCCTCCTCGCATTGCCTCTGTATAACACGTTTCATTTTAATCCAGTGGTTCTAGCGTTACGGCCAAGCATGTGGCAAGTGAACGAACTTGGCCGCATTAGTGTTTGTGGTAAGGGAACTTTGAAGTAGGTTTTGCAAATTGCAACGCAGTTAGCTGGTTCCTGATCCCAGTTCTTGCAGTCAGCGACTCTGCTGCCTACATTTTCCAACGTGTTTAACCTCTTTAATGATTGCTTTAAACGGGAAGTGTTCACTTTTTCAAAAGATCTGTATTCAGAGTCTACAGAACATAGATAAAGTCCTGCCTTTAAAAACGTCTATATCAATAAAGTATAATCTGGTGACTGCTAAATTCAACATGTCCCTCAGTAATTCTGTCAATGCAGTGAAAACGAAACCAAAGTAAATTAAATTGGTCAAAGACAGCCTCCTGAACGCAGAGAGCTTTGTTGCGATCCATCTTGCATACGTTACCTATTCACCGCCGCCATAATCGATGTCCACACACAACAACGTGTTTAGCATTAGAAACAGAAACGCACAGACACGGGCATTCTCCTGATTGCAGAAATGCAAATAACCACCTGTTTCCAGACTGCATTGTGGAAGTAGCCTAGTCCTGGTTTATTGCAAAAATAAGCAGTTTACCTGATGCAGAAATTATCTAGGCCAGTGTTAGGTGTGTTCAATTCAATGCTGCTGACAAAGCTAGTGCAAGATTCACGGGTTAGTAATGGACTATGGCAGTTTCCATTTGTGAAATTCCAGATGCTTTTCAGCGTGGATGTTAGCATCGGTCTATTGTGTCACTTCGTAGGTACCTGTGCAGGCGGGTCAGAACCTCAACCGTCTCAACTAAGTTGCTGTGCACTGCCTGATGTTTGTGTTGCGACAATTGACAGTAGAATTGCACAAAAGAACCTAAAATAAGCTGCATATTTTGTCTGCCAATGTCCTTACTGAAGGCACACACTACATCTACTACTGCTCACCGCGAGCTCAATAAAATGCCATTTTCAATTATGAAGTACACATCACCTAACGGAATGGTCAAGCACTTTCATTCATCTGCTCATATAACCACACAATTGTAATTCTTCATCGGAAACAAAATCAGCCATTGTTGTTGGCTGTTACTAAAATACATTCTAAAGTGTCCCTCACCGACAGGCTGCCATGCTGATGTCTGTGAACTCAATTCACTCAGCCCGGCACACAGTTGCAACTCATTAGTCAGGCCACAGCGTCGTTAGATCCCTAGACATTTAAATGTGGCTGCCGCATCTCAACACACACCTCACTTCCGATTTGACTCTAGCATGGTATGAAGCTTTGGTTAGAGCAGTCAAAACGCCTGTACTGTCAATGCTACCGTCTAGTAGGCATTCTTCGTGCTAGAGGCAAAACGTCGACTGTGTACCATTAGGAGTCTGTGCCTAAATACCACATAACAACGCGACAATATTTTACCCTATCATGACACATTGTAATACTATTAAAATATGCTTATTGCTGTGGGTCAAAGTGCTATAATTAAGAGGGAAATTACGGTACTTGAATGATAGCGATCTGAAATCCCATAAATCCGTCCACTCAATTTCCACTGGTTGAGGTCTTGTAGAAAAGCACTTTTGCTATTGGTTTGATTGTGAAAAGGACTAATGAACGCTGCGCAGAGTTTTAGAACGCATCCACTATTTCTCTAAATTTCTGCATTGTTAATATGTTTACATGGGAAAAACCCCCACCTACTCACGTCCACAGAGGCAATGACAGATCGGTCAATATCAACTAAAACGAGAGATCCACAACCGCCATCCACTTCAATTCCTTCACCTGTGACATGTCTTGCAACCGCCACCTCTCCTAAAAGAACCCCTAAGGCAAAATTTGACCGGAATTGCTGCATTCACCCCTCAACTTCGTCGGAAGTGGTAATCGAACCACACTTCGATTCAGATCCTGTTCCTACTGACTCAAGTGAGCTCACGGCTCTAAGTGTCATAACAACGTCGGTCGCTTCCTCTTCCGATACCAGTCTTCCAGAATGATGCAATGTATTTGGCGCCACGTAATCTGCTTCATTTTGGCAGAAAATGCCATTGCTGAATCAAATATTTTGCGAAGAAAACGATTCTTTTGCATAAAGCAAGATTGTAAGACAACCAGACCCTACCTTAGCAGAATGATGGACAAGATTCTGTGGCACATGGTCGAGCCTCCATGTGCGTGCTAGATGTGTTCTTCCGCATTTTTTCGCAGGGACGACACACAGATGCGTGTAAGAGCTCACCTTCTCAATAGGTCTAGCGTGTCGGAAAGACGTTAATAATGATGTATGATGCACGCTCTTGCTACCTAAGACACACAACCCCAAAGGCACTTTTCACAACTCGTCTTGCAGTTGGATTTCTTTCTATATAGAAATTTCTATATTTAATGCTGCAGTCGTACTCAAATCATATTTACAATGAACCTTGCAAGTATCATCGTTTACTTGTGTGCGTGTATGTGCACTAGGATCTAGGATTCCCCAGGATTGCTCGTCGCCGTTTTTGGTCATTATTTACACTAATTCCCAAACATCTCTTTTATTGCGCTTTTTATCGGGTCAAGGTCAACCTTGACCTCACTGTGTCTTACAACTCACTCGCACTTTGGTTGAGGTGACTAGTTCTCTCTACACAAGTGCTGTTTCTGGCTTGTATTAGCGTGGGAAGGTCTGGTTTTAAGCTGCTGATAAGGGATTTGGGTACCGGTTATTTGAGTGGATCTCTCTGTTATGGGCAAATGTAACATTACTACTTCAAAGAGTCAACAAGTGACTGTGCTTCAACCCTCAACCCACCAATAAGGGGTCTTTTCTTTACCATTTTGATCCACTTTGAGTAGGTCGAGGACACATAACTCGATTGCGTGTTCGGTATGATGTAGAATACTCGAGCCCAAGTATGAATAAGACTGGTACAACAGAACAGGCTTTGTTGACCAATCACAAGCCAGAGCCGCAAGTCAAGCGCCTTCCATC